TACGGCTTATTTTTTTGGTGTTACATTTCCATTTTTGGAGTTAGAGAAGGATCTACAAGGCCAATAAAAAGTTGTGGACCAGGTGTCTTGCACTATATATATATAAAAAAAATATAATTTATTTTTCTTCTTTTTCAACAACGTTCAAAAAAAATTTTTTTAAAAATTAAAATAAACATGATTTTCTTTAAGAAGAACTATTTTATATATTTTCGGGTGGTGGTTTTAATATTTATTTGGGACTTGTGAAAGAATGTGATGAAAAAAAATTGATTTAAATACAATGTGGACATTTTAAAATCAGAAACCGAGAATTTCCAAATCTGGCAATCCTGATGGTGTTTGGCGCCATGACCTTTTCCAACTCTCAACTCTGGTGCTCAAAATAGGAACAATCCAAAGCCCAACAACAACAACAATAACTATAACAACAATAACAACAATAATTTGGGTTTATCTATCAGACAACGTCTGGGTGACGGAATTAATAATAGTCCCGGCGGTAGCGGTGTTGTAAATAGATTATCGATCAAAGGCGCTGCTGGAAATCAACAAGCTCGATATTCTATTAAAGGTGAAGGAGGTCCTGCTACCATCACTGTTAACAATTTAGCGCCTGGTACAAGTGCAAATGATATTAAGGTTGGTTGGAATGTATCTATAAAATCAAAATTTTGATTTATAATAAATCATTTATTAATTTTATTATTGTTGTTATTATCTTTTTTTTTTTTTTGATTTGTTTAGACAGCATTTATGGAATTTGGTGAAATTTCTACAATGAACGTAGATGAAAGATTTCCTGCTAATCCTGTAAAGGCTGAATTAACTTTTGAAAGTAAAGTTTCAGTGCTTGATGCAATAAAGAAATATAATACTGCACTTGTTGATGGTTTGTATTTAATATATTAATATAAATTAATATAGATACTTTATTATTTTATTATTTCAAGTATCTTATATTTAATTTGAATTGTATTCTAGGCTATGTTCTTAAAGTTCAATTAAAGCAGCCAGGAAACAATTCAAATACTGGTGCTGCAACATATAGAGCGAGAGGAAAACTTAATAAACCTCCTGTTAGGTAAGTAAGTTATAAATAAATAAATATATAATACATTGCCATTTAGTTAATTTATTGTCATTTTTTCCTAATTTTTTTATTAGAGCTAATGGAAAATTACATTCTGATCAATTACTTTCTGGTCAAAAAAATAAACGCATGGCTGGCAGTAATAAAAGGAAATAATCATCTTTTGGTGACTCTTACTAAAACGATAATATGATTTAAATATTGTTGCTCGATTAATACACAATATGTATATCATCTCTTTTTGCTAGTTAATAATAATCAGAAAATATTTTTTTAAAAAACCCATTTGGTTTGTAACAAAAAAAATTTTTTAATAGCGACCAAAAAAATAATATATTACTTATATATACACACACACACATCATATATACACACATCTTTTTAGACTTAGGTATTTAAAATTGAATAGTCTCAATTAAAATTATTGGGAAAAAAACTATTTTACATTTTTTCAATACCTAATGTCAGTATTAATGGATATCATCAGAAGAATTATCTAAGGGAAATATACATCAACAACATCAAATTTAGAATTTTAGTTTTTATTTTTCTATTTTTATTTTTTTCAGAATATTATTCTTTCCTATATAATAACATCATAATATTAAATGTAATACCCATCACAATTATTAATTACTACTAAAAAGAAAAATATTTTATATACTTTAAAACCAAAAGCTTACACTGAAACTTATGGTTAATGATTTTACATAATGCCACCAGCCAGGCTAAATTATTAATATTATTAGTTAATTAAATGTTGAAAAATAGACAATTTAAAAAAATGTCAAAAAAATATATTATCAAGAACTTACTGGGATATACAACAGTTCTCCGGGTTCCAAAATACATTCTTGATATTTAGCTGAAGCAAATCGAGAAAAACGTTCAAGATCTGGTGCTTCTACATCAACCTTTTGGATATATATATTCACAATTAATACATATATAATTATGAAAAAAATAATAATATATATATAATTAGAAATTCATTACTTGGCTTGTGTTACCAAGAAATCCATCTTGCTCAAAAGGATATAGATTGGTAGTTTCTTCAGGCGAATACAATCTTATATATTTTTTTCCTACAACTTGAGCTAAAAGATTATGATAGGGGTCGGTATGCATGGGTGAAATGGTTCCTTTTGGTCCAAACCATGCATTTATAATAACATCAGGAGGAGGGTTATATTTTCTTGGTTTTTGGTTGTTCTCATTCCCTTTACAATTATTGTAATCATCATCAACATCATTTGAATTGTTTGTGGATGAAGGAAGATTTGAAAAAGGTATGACTGTATTTACAAAACAATAATCAGGGATCAATATGTCATCTTTAAGACTAGGAATTTGATCAAACAAATTATGTTGAGCTAAATAAGCTATTTCTTTTTGTTCTTTATTTACTACTTTTGCTTCTTCTTTTCTGTCTTCTATTTTATTGTCAGTGTTATAATTTTCAATAAGATCATTTGATAATATCCAATTATTTACAAATTCTTCAAAGCTGATTAGTTTTTGTGTCCAAGAATTATCAGTATATTTAGCTCCTATTTCCACCGGTACCAACCGATTTTTTCCTATTTTATTCAACAAATAATTCATATCACTCCATGGAGTTGTTGATAATGCAGGCCAATGTGAAATTGATGATGTGATGATGAAAGGCGTTGGATTATTGGAGGTTACATGAGATGTAAAATATGATATACTCGGCGATGGAATTTTTGGTATTAATGATGATGATATAGTAGATTTTGTTGACGATTTTGAAGTTGATATTGGATTATCTAATTTTTCGTATTTTGGAAATTTTCTTTTTTCCTTCTCTTCCTCGATATCCCTACGTTTTTTTGATGATGAAGAAGATTCATGATTATGAAGAACATGATTTTCGTCAATTCCTTTTAAGATTTTCTGTACTTCTTCTATAAGACTAAATATCAATTCTTTTCTTTCATATCCAGGAGCATTTGTCATCACTAAAGCCATATCCAAATTCTTAATAACTTGTTTCAATAATGATAATATTGTTATTGGTGATGATGACGATGATAACGATGATGATGCTAGTGTTCTTGTTGTTGTCATATTTATCGTCATTAAAATTTCACAAACACTCTTTATTAAACTTGCATCTGTGTACAAACGTAGCCAACAAATTGCTACATCTTTATATGGGAACGAATATAGTTTTTCAGATGCTAAATCAATTAACGAAGTTGCCTTTATTAAAACATTGTTATTATTATCATCATTATTACTATCACCACCACTACTAAAATATATTTTTAAATCTTTAATGCATTGGTTTAATAAATAAATCGATGCTTTATCACAATTAAATATTCCTAAAAAGATTAAATAAAATGTTATAAATAAAAAGATTTATTTTTTATCTGTTGTTAATTTAATTAATTACCATCTTTTTTTCCCAATAAATTATCATCATTATCCTTATTGTTTAAAGTTTTTGATATTTTGAAAATAATGGTTTCACATAAATTTTTTATATTATTATAATCTGATGACATTCTTTAAATTTCATTCAAAAGAGGATTTTATTTGTAGTCTTGTCTTGATATAAAGCTTTATAAATCTTTTCCAAATTTGATTACAATTATTTTATTTTGGCAGTGATTTTCAAAAAATAAATAAAAATTTTAAATGTTTTAGTAATATACAGTTGAATGCAAATATATGGTATTAATTATTAAACAAAGATAAGAAAGTAATTAAAATATTAAAATAATTAAAAAAATACAAATTTAGAAATAAATAGTAAGAAATTATTAGTTGAAATTATCATCTTCACTAAAATTTCCACTAGTTTTTAATTTTTCTTGCTTAATCCTTTCAGTACTAAGACGTTTTAACTCAAATACTTCTGCTATTGCGTGCTTAAAACATTGAAAATTATAATCTATTAGTCCATGTTTCTCAAAATTATCTGATCGAAGTAAACATACTAGCGCAAGAAATCTAAAAATGACAAAGAAGTAAGATAATAATGATGATAAATTCTATTATTAGTTGTATTTGTATCAATGTTACAATTATATATGAATTATATGAGAGATTAAATAGTAAATAAATTGTTTATAAAGTTTCACCTATTGACACCTTTAAGACATAATATCATTCCGTTATTCAATTTGATTAACGATGAGGTGTCAATTGCAGTATCAGCAATTGTTCCATAAGTTGTCGTATTCTCATTCTCCAGTAAATTTGATTGACCAATTGCTTCATCCGAATTATTTTGCCTAAAAAACATAAGATATAAAATGCCATAAATATAATAAGTCATATATTAACTCTATAATTCAGTACTTTATTTATTAATTAATATTATATTAACCCATAAATTTCTGAAATATCAATAATAACATCAATCATATCACTACAAAGCTCATATGATTGTATATCCACAGGTGAACTATCAGTTGCAACATAAATTTTTGAATTGATATCAAATAGGAAGGCTTTCTCTATACCAGAATTCTAATATAAATATTAGAAATATTAAATCAATTAATATGTAAATAAATATAAATGAAATCATTAAAACAAATAACGTACAGCACATAATATATTTAGTAAGTTTTCCAATGTTGGTAATTGCGGAATAAGTTTTTGAACTACTTTACTAAATGCTTCAAAAATAGAATGATCATAAATACTAGTCAAGTAAAAATTTATTGGAACATTTTCCAATCCAACGTCTGCTAATTCATCAGTTGTTCTTTGTTGAATTTCTCTCAATGTATCAAATTTAAATTCCTCTGACAATTCATCTACTTTATGAATAAATACTTCAAACACAAGCTCTTGATTAAAACTATATGCTTGTGTAATTGTTTGGTGAAGTCGATTAAGTGCTTTAAAGTAGTCATCCTTGCGTAAATAAATAAATATTTATATATAAATTTCGACTTTTATATAATAAATTATGCGATAGTTCTATTCAAATAATAATTAATTAACTTACTTGTGCATCTATCACAAAAATCAATGCTCCATATTCTCCAAAAATTATACTGGAATCAAATGCCGGATCAAAATAATCAATTTGTCCCGGGAAATCCCATACTTGGAAATCAACGAACGATCTAATACAAATTATTTATACTTATTTAAGAAAATTAACCATAAAAAAAATTCATACAAAATCGAAATAAAAAATTATGTGTATCTTTACATACGTTATATTTTCCTTGGCAATTTGATATGTACTTTCAATAAATAATGTTTCATTTGCTGGCATCTTATGAAATACAACTTTTTGAATACTTGATTTTCCACTTCTATAAAATTATTAAAAAATAGAAATTGTAATTGTGGTTATATATAATGAATACATATCTATATTAAGGATCATACCTTTTTAATCCCATAATCAATAAACGTGGTCGATGATCTTGAACTGGATCATCTAATAATTCTTCTCCATTTCTAATAATTATTTCATTAATAAAAACATCAAGCGCTATGCACATATATAAAAGTTTCAATTAATAATTATTTTTTTTACATGTACCTTGTTTCTTTGCCACTTTGTTTAGTAGGAGTAAATTCAATACTGTTAGACTGCTAAAAACGAATAAAAAATAAATAAGATGCCCTTATTATCTTAAGAAAACACTAGTTTTTATTGAGCATTGAGACTTACCAACATTTTTCTGATTTTTTTATTAGAAATCAGAATATCTATATATTGTAACACATTTTGATGTATCTCAAAGAAATTTCGGGGACCAAAATTGATTAACATCACAATTATACTATTATACATAATAATTACATAATAATGTGATTGTTGTGTGAAATTCAAATCAGCAAATATCCCAAAATTTTGACAAAATTCACACTAAGCTTTAATAAAAAACTTTTGTTAACATCGAATTTATTAATATGGTGCAGGACACCTAGTCCCTACAACTTTCTGCGCCACAGCAACAGATTTGGGAAAAAATTCACAATTAAAAATGCAATAAAATTTTTACAGTCACATGTTTTAAAAATAGGTTTGTCCTGTTACCTTTATTGGTATCACGTGACAAAAGATCTGCAATACAGATTTCAAAATTTTCAATTCTTCCAATTCATTCATTTTTAATATAAAAAATTTGCGTGTAACACGTCATTTTGGGGGATCAACATAGTAAATTTGTTAAAATTGTGCAACTTTAAGGCTTAATTCATCCACTAGTGTTCCATGTCGCAATCCAAAAAAGGAAACCAAAGTGGTTGCAAAGTGGTTGCAACCAGGTGTTGCAACCATCACCAAGAATTGCGACCAGCATCTATATCCTCCACAACAACATGGCATATCAACAAAATGAAAATGTCATTTTGTAGAAAAAGTCTTAGCTTCAAAATGTCATCTTGTTTTTTTTTGGTCACACATTTCCATTTTTGGAGGAGTTAAAGAATTTGCAAGACTAATAAAAGTTGTAGGGACTAGGTGTCCTGCAATATAGAATCTTATTACAGTCAGGGTACTTTCCAAATTTGGAAGTAGAATTTATGCCACTTTGTTGATCAATTCATATATGTTTCGTATGTTACAAACGAGCCAACGTGATACTTTGTATATAGTCACTTATCCAGGATCTACATAAAGAACACCAAAAAAAAAAGGTTACCATTGAAATTGAATCCGATTGCAAATTTGTCTTAAGTCTAAAGTTATAGCTAATGTTCATTTTGTCTGATTTTGTTGCAGTATGTCCCATATGTTCGTTAAGCTTTTTTTTTTATAAAAACTTTTATTAATAAAAAAAAGGTACAAATAAATCAATTATATTTTAAAGAAATATTTTATAAATACACTTGGTCTCGGTTTTTTCAAATGTATAACAATAATGTAATTTTCAAAATGCTAAGGCTCAGCCAATTTTCGGTTTAAGAAAATTTGGCTGATAGGTTTTGAAGCTAGAGTCATGAATAATAAAACTTATTGATTACCTTTTTAAAATGACGTGATATGCACTGTATGTAGGGAGGGACAATATCAACCAATCCAAGGACCTACAACAAAGGTTAACCTTACTATTACTATTTGAGACGTCGATCCTAAGGTTAAACCTCTTACTGGTAAACCATAACCCAATCTACTAATTAAAATTGGGTTACACATAATCACCAACTACCCAGACACCCCTGTTAAAAGGTTGAACCTTCATGTTTTGAGAATGTAGATCCTTGGATTGGGTGGACAATAGAAATTTATCTCCTTTTTAAGAAAGTTTATGTTGGAAGAGAAGAGCTCTGGATTAATATGACGATCTCCCGGGTAAATTTCTATCATTGATCACCACTAAATAATGGTGCCATAGTGCAGCCAGGGAATATACTAAATATGGAAATTAAATTTACAACAAAAATTATTTCTCCATTTTTAAATTTCTTCATTGATTTAGCAGACCTTGATTTAGCGATTTAGCGATAATTCTCTCGATATAACGGACCTACTAGTACTAGTTAAATATCGGTATAACAGACTTTGGCTAAAACCGAGACTGCATATTCCTGGACTCACAAGTACCACACATCTCATAAAAATCTACTGACGATTAGATTTTTAAATTTGGTTGTGAACACTTTTAGACAAATTAATTAATACCGGCGGTAATGATACTACCTCCAAATCTGTATCCTTAATACAAAGTTCATAATTCCTAACAATGATTTTGATTCCTTAATTAATTATGTAGACTGACAACATGAGAGAATTAATAGTGAGGATTCAAGTGTGCTAGAAAATCAAGAAGATTGATTACTTTGTTTTAAATGGAGTGTTATTCTTTTATATTCCTATGAATATTAATATAAATTTTTTTGGTATATCTAAAGTAACAACTAATTCTTATTAATGAATTTAAAAATTATTAGAAAAAAAATTTTTTTTTTGTCATCATTCATTAAATTAAAATTTTCATTAACCGTTAAAGAAATAGAAGATATAATCAAGTAAAATATTTAAATTTTAATTCATGTAAAGTTGATGATAAAAATGATAGATTTAATATTATTTGACTCTTTTTTTTAATACAAAAAATAAATAAAAGCAATCATCAAATAATTTACTTGAACATTTATTTATAATATCACAATATGATTTTTTCTAATCTTCGGACTCGTCCATCTTCTCTTTTCCTTTACTTGCACCTTCTTTATCTCTATTTTTCCTTCCTAATAATCCTTTACGATCTTTATCAATTTTCAATTTGGTTATGACCACATTTGATGGATGAACACCAATTTGAACAGTATTACCATTTGCCTTTTCTCTGCTGAGACGTTCAATATGGATCACCCATCTTTTACGATACACTTGAGTCACTTTACCATCACGACCTTTATTGGTGCCTCTTACTATTTTAACTTCATCATCTTTACGAATTGGTATTGATCTAGCCTACATAATGAATAATCACATATATATATATATATATGCATGAATAAATATAATTTTTATTATGTGTGTGCATATATCAAATAAAAAATTATCAACAATAAATCAATAAATCAAGCAATTAATTAGATTTTTTTACATTGTGTTTCTCTCTAAGCTCTTTTGATAAAGATGCACTCATAATTTTTCTACGAAGTGCTGAATGAGCTGTAAAATGAGCTTTTCGACTTTTACGTCTAGAAGAACTAACGTCTAAAAAACCACATCATCAAAAAAAAGTTAATAACAACAAAATAAAATATATTGATCATCAATTTGGTTAGATTGGTGGTATCCTTTCATAATTAATAAATTTCATAAAATAAAAAAACCAAAAACCTTTAGAGAATTTCATTATTATTATTTTTTAATTGAAAAAATTTTTTTTTTTAAAAAAGATTTTTTTTCTATAAATTCACGTGATATAATTTAATTGGATAAATAACATCTACAAACGTTTGTGTAATCATGACTTTTTTTGCCCACAAAAAAGAGTATCGCTTGTTCCACGAACTTTATTTTCATCCATTCATATATACGTTTTCAATTTTCCAAACAAGCACCCCCTTTTTATATTTAAAACAAAGCTTGTTATACATCATCGTCACATATATTTAAAAATTTTTTATCTTTTTATTACTCATATTACTCATAGATTAAAATAAATACCTTCATTGAAAAAAATACTCAACTATGAGCGGTTGGGAAAACTTATATAATATTGCAACAGGTGATTATCATAATGAAAACCTCAAGGTATGATACTATTTGTTTTTTTTTAAAACGAATAATAATAATAATAATTAAAAAAAAAAGAAAAGAAAACAAAGAAGCAAGAAATTATTAGATACTAAAATAATAACAAGATCATTGATCAACTTTGAAATCACTCCATAAACATAGGATTCATACGATAACTATTTGAAAACTGCCAATGCGTTACTTTATAAACTAGGAAATGAGGTTACTTTCATCAGCAGAGGTAGTTGAAAATAACAAAATTTTTATATATCAGTTTAAAGTTTAGTTTATTCCTTTATTCAATTAAATATTCAAATTTTTTTTTTTAAAAAAATAATGTAGAAAGTATTAAATCAAAACCCCATAATAGTGCTCGTTTGTTTAGTCAACTTAAAACATGTGTACAAAAATTAGAAGATATTCTTCAAAATAAAGTTACAGTAGGCAACCTCCCTTCTCCACAACCTTCTTCCATTTCTGATTTTGCTCCTACATTAAAAAACACAACTCCAACACCATTACATTTACCGCTTATTCCATTTTCTCCTCTATCAAGAAATGTATTACAATATTCTCAAGATCTAGATGCGGCTAAAGAAAAAATCAGTAATATCAAACAACGAAATCCTCAAAGAAAAAATGATGATGATGACAATTCTCATCTTAGTCAGCTTCGTAGCATAGAGGACGAAATAAGAACCATCGAATCAAAAGCTGAAAAGCTCAACAAAGAAATCAACTTGGTTTCTGAAGTAAATTTACTTTACTGGGATGCTGATGTTATTGCAGCGCAGTTGACGATAATTGATTGTGATCTATTTAGAAAAATTGATTTCAAAAAAGATTTTCAAACAAAAGATAAAAAAAATTCAAAACCACAAGCTTGTCTCGATTTTCATCGTTATCTAACCAACAGTTTTTCACATCAGCTTATCACTTTTGATAATGTCAAATCATCTGGAAGTCTTTCACGTGGTAATGGCGCCCAGCATCCACGTGAAAGTATAATTGCTCATGCTGTAAGAATATCTTATTACCTGTTAAACGTTTATCGTAATTTTAATAGCTTTGCTGCAATAATTAAAGCTTTGATATCACCAGAAGTGCGCAGAATACGTAGGTTATGGAGTAACATACCTGCTCGCACAAATCAAATCCTAAAAGAATTATCCAACCACATCAAACCAGACAATGACTACAGTGCATACAAGGAAATTTTATTTCAAAAATTAGAATCATTCCGTGAAGGGAATCAAGAAACGGTAGTTATCCCATGGATGCAACCTCATTATGAGGAAATTAAGCAAATCAATCAATCTTACGGCACTGGAAAATCAGGTGGCGACTCTTCAGAAATTGTACTCTCCCCTCCAGGTGCTCGTAAATCAATGTTGATTTGCTCATTGCTTGAACAATGTCAATTAAATATCATTTCACAAGAACTGGATGGCGATGAGCTAGCTTTCAGCCGCAAGACCACCGCTAACACCTCTACCTCTCGTACAATCAACATAGATGGTGTGAATATTAAGCTACCATATGATCTTTCAAAGCTAGGAGTGGGAAATTTAAGTGTACATCATTGGCTTGTATCACGTGTTTACCTTAATAAACAACAATTGATTGATGAAAGTATTTTCATTGAACCATTGATTGAAAATGAACTTCTTCCTTGTATAGAAAATGATTATGAAGATGAGATGGAGGAAGAAGAGGAGGATGATGATGATGACGATGTTAGCGTTGGCAGATATAATGATATAGATAGTGATGATGGAGCTACTGAAATTTATGCAAACAATGACTCAACTATTGAATCACCAACAAAAATCTCCCAATCAACAGAATTTCATTATAATGATGTGTCAGAAGATCTGGATGAACCATTTGTCCTTCCGAAACCAGAAGGAAATGAGTCATTAATTACTTCTAATATTAACAGCTACAACAACAATAACACTAATAAATTCGATAAGAATGATTATTTACTTGGCAATAATTTTTCAAAATCATTCGAAAATCCAATAATCATTACAGAAACAACTATTGATCCATATGATACTATGTTTGAAAACAATCAAAATAACAACAACAATAATGATAACCGCACTTCTAAAACAGCAGCAATACAAATTCCACAAACAAATAAACCAACAAGTACTTTCGTCTCACCTGCCCCCAGCCTTAATCCAAATGCATCAGTATTTATCCCTCGATCACACAATAGCCTTACCAGTCCATCACCGGGACCATTGCCAGACATGGATAATAGAATGAGTATGTCAGTTGGGGTTATCCCAACCAAGAACCTTAATGCTAAATATGATTCTGGGTATAAATCTGATGAAGATGATCCTTTTATTTACACAGGTAATGATAATAACAATAACAATAATAAATTTGAAAATGGTGATGATAATAAAAAAGGGGAAGAAGGATATAAAAATCTCATCTATCAACAATTTGATGAAAATAAAAAGGTTGGTGATATTTCTGATAATAGAAAAAATGGTGATAATTCTGACGATAGTGATGTAGATGATGTTGAAGCTGACGAAGACGATGTTTTGAGCGATGGTATTTTTAAATACGAATCTTGCAACAAATCAAATGATGACAATAAAGATGATAATGATGACGATGATGATAATGAAGAAAATATTCAAAAAGATGATGATAGTCAAGAAAATGGCGTCATTACCAACGATGGCAAAATTGATTTGACAAATGGTAAAAAAGATGTTATTGAAAAAATTGATCAAAATTTAAATGTCGATGGGACTCCAAATATTAATATTAAAATCAATAAAATATATCAATCATCGTCACCTTAATGGAACAACATCTTAAATAATTTAAAATCATACACACACACATACATACATACATACATTCATTCATAATTTTGGTTTTTATTTTCCGCCGCGGTTTATTTATTCGTTGGTGTCTTTTTGTGGGAAATTTATAGTTTGTTTATTTATTAATTGGTGTTGTTCTATTTTAGATTTATTATTTATTCTTAATATTCTTTTATTTAAAGTTCAAACATATATATATATATATATATATTATATTTATATTATATTTTAATGTTATTGTACTTTTATTATAAATAAAAAATAAATAAAAAGAAAAAAAAGAGTTAAATAGGAAGATTGGAAGCGTGAAATTCAAATTAGCCAATCAGAATTTTGTATTCAAACATCCACCCCAAAATTTAATTGGTAAATTTCAAATTGACACAAATTTGATTTTCACGCACAACATGAATATGATTTCATTTGTAATTCAGTTTAAAACTCTAAATCAGTTAAAAAATGGAACTTTTAATTAGTTAGATGGCTTTGCTTCTAATAGAGAATAATCTATTACTTGGTTTTACAAAAGTAGGTACAAGCCTTATTTAATAAATAAGGGATATTTTAACTTTGAAGATCTCACCGTGTAAAAACAAAAAAACGTGTTGCGTTTGAGCAGTATTTATTGTAAACACATATATATGAGTCAATTTTAGTGTGAGAAACTACCTTTGCTTGTTATCGGTGAAGCTAAAAATCGTGCTTATTCCAATGAATTTTTAAAAATGAATAAAATTGTTTATTCACCTTCGAGTCGGAAAAATATATTAATTTTGTCTCTTTTTCCCTTTATCCTTTTCCTCAACCTTTTCTTACTTTACTTCTCTTCACCACCTTCCCTCTTTCTAGCTATAAATTTGTTTGAATATTTCCACTTAATCAACACAACCTATCAACTCATATGCCAGATTTACTAACATTTCCAGATTTGGAAAACAAAATCCATGTAGAAAAAATAGATGAAGAAAAAGAAATTGAAAATTTTGTAGTTATTAATCCAACAGTAGATTATACACCACCTGAATGTATACTTTGTTGTGTACAGATCTTGGTGTTTTGACACCTTCTGATGTCAGTGATGAATTAATTAAATTGTATTAATAACAATAGTAATAGTAATATTGGTTTATTGGTTTGCAGCTTGTTTTGAACAAAAAAGAAGAGAGATTTATATTATATTTATAGTATTTATATATTAGAAAGGTAGTGATGGTTTGTTCTTTTCTTTTTCTAATCGTTTTTCCTAGTAATAACAATGATGATGATTTTTACATGTAAATATACACCCCATACATAAAAATGCAAATTTATAACTTTGTACAATTTACCTTTCTCCAGGTCTCAATTACTTTTGGCATTTCTTCTAACGATTTCTGAATTTTCTGACGCCTATAATAATAATAATAATAATAATAATAATAATAATAAATAATTCACCCTATCCATCAAATCTTTCCCCATCAAAAAATTTTCTCCAAAACAATACCTTTTAGGAGCATCTCTTTCATATTTAGGACGTTTAGGTTTTTTAAGTCTAGGTGGTCGTTTCTCGGGTTTAATAGGCAAGCCAATACTGGTAGGATCCCTTTGTAGATAGTCTAAATTCTTTCGCATTACATTCAACATTCGTAAACTAACTTTTGGTTTCTTGTAAATTGGTTTGCCATACATGTTATAACCTTTAAAAGTTGGTCGGAAATCACTTGGTTGGTATCTTTTTTTCAATTGAGCAAGTGCTCTATCTGATATTCTTTTTATTGCAGACATTATTTTAAATTTGAAAAAAGATTTTGCATTGATAAATGAGCAATCTACATAAATTTTAGCCAAATTGGGATCAATATTTATTCACCACATCAATTCGTCTAAACAAGAGAGAAAGAAAGGGTCTGATCATTTTTTTCAATTTTGTGAATAGAATTGGTGGCAATTAAAATAAATCTACTTCCTTTATTAAATAAATAATTCAGTAATTTTTTTAGCATCGGGGGTTTGATTTTTAAAACAGATAATAGGAAATTCTCCTGCTTTGATAAGTTTTTTTATCATTATAAATCTTTGAAACCAATCAGATTCTTTGATACTTTGTTTTGCTCTTTTGAAATATCTGCAACGTAACATCACGCCCGCACTGAATTTCAAAACCATGATTATTATTATACCGATTTGATTTTGAGACATAGGAGGCTGGAGAACAGTTGAATCTTTGTCAACTTTATCGATTCCTTTGAACACTATTTTAATCAATAAATGATAATATCTTGAATAATTTTTAAAAAAAAACCGGAAAATTACTGTTGTCAAAAAACTTTTTATAATATTACTAAATATTCATCAACTTTACTCAAATAAATTTTCAAACAAAGCTTTTCTTTTTTAAATCATTTTCTAACTGAATCTGGCAATTAGCTGTTGAGTAATTTGCTTTTAAAATTCACAATATGGTTGGATTTTACTTGCTTTTTTGCAATTATGTTATTAGAATAAATGAGATACATTTATCTAATAAATATACCAGATTGCTAACACTCAATTATCAAATAACTATTTCATATTAAAAAGTTGTATGAAGCTGGCGATGTGACTTATAGGAGAGAGTTAACCGCTCGAAGAAGCGGAATCACCTTTTGAATCACGTGACATATCGCAATTTAATTAAAATTTTGGTAATCAATTATAAATAATGTGATAGAAGTTAAAATTTAAAAGATGTGAGACGATTCATCATTGAAAAGTGGAATACAACTCCTGATTTATTCTAATTAATTTACTTTGATAAAAAAATCAAGATGTCAGTCTGTAATTAAAAATCAACAGTGAAAGTATTTCGTATTAAAATATATTTAATAAAAATTCTGCCCTTAACCTATCGAATGGAAATATTTTCTATATGAATTAATGCAGTAGTTGTTCCATGATGATTAATTTGATTTTCTGCAACACACTGTATGTTGAACATTTGATATTGGATATATGCGTGCTTTCCACGGCTACCATATTTTTTTTTTGGAAAAAGAAAAAATTTAATTAATGCAATATTATAAAAAATCATTATCAGTTATTATATAAATTTAATTATAATAAATAAATATATTCATACTCCATTTAATATGTTTTAAATAATTTAAATAATTTGATGATTTTCAAATAATAGTTGTTCCAAAAACCTTATGTCTGCTCATTAACCGCAAAAAGAACAAGATTAAAATTGTTAAAATTTTACTAAATATGGGAATGATGTTTGATCCATAACCAACTAACTAAAGGTTTTCACAGTTAATTAACCGGCTAAAGAATTTCTATACGGTGCCAACCTCTAGGAAAAATGGTTGGAAACTATTATATTGATAATAAAGAATTCATATCCAACTACATTGGATGTTTACCATCCTAAATCATTTGAATATTTTCATATCATTTTTAATATTTGAAAGTTTTAAAAAGATATGTTGATAAAAAATTTTGTAAAAATCATAATTATTAATAAATTCCTATGATAATTTTTATAAATTTTGTTTTTAAGTCAATGAAATCAAATTCATAATGTGATAAAGCAAGATTAACATGGATTTATTTATACTTTGACAGTTAGGCCTCTCAATTTAAAATTGGAGGAGGGTGATAAGGAAGGGCTCAATTCTAATATTGTAACCAAATAAATTTATTCATATTAACATGCTAAAATTGGATACATATTGAATAAAGCAAAGAAAAATTAAAATTTGTTTATCCCCACTCCACCATCTATAAAAAAGATTTGATGTGCATAAACCCTCCAATTAAACCAAAAAATCGTCTTTATTATCATTAACAATCCAATTAAAAACTGCAAAAGAGATAACAACTGACATTGTGAAAATCATTATTGGAGGCCAGTAAAGTAATCCAAAGACAAGAAAATGGCATCCTGCAAAAAACGCTACGCTTCCAAGAATAATTAACATAATGCCCACCACAAAAGTTAGAAAAAACAAGATAATTGTTAAAAGCATGACATTTAATATTGCCTCTTCCACTGTAAAATTTCTAACCCAATCAAAAAAAAGTGGAAGTTCTTTGCTAATCTGATTTGCTGGATATGAAATGAATTCTTCAAATGTTTTGGTTGCTTGGTCAATAGTTTCTTTGTCGGTTATTTGAGCTCTTTCACCGATTTTAGATGTTGCTAAATCACTGGTTTTTGCTCCTTCAAACTCTTCAATCATTTTTTTCACCAAACGAGAATATTCTACATATCCATCATTGTATTCGTTTTTTTGATATTGATTTTCATTTTCATCACTTTCTCCAACACATTTTAATTCGTAATTATCTGCCATTTCTAATTAAAATTTTTTTGTTTGTAGATAAAATAATTTACTTTATATATATATATATAATTATATAATCATAAAAATGATATCATCATCATTCCAATTTAATTAATCAATCTTTAAAATATATTAACTATTATAAAATTTCAAGATCTTTTAAGTTCTTTTCAATATAAAAAAATATCATATAATGACATACTTTATGTATCCAATTTATTTTAGTGAATGAACAAAAGGAAAAAGAATAATTATTCAAATTTATCCCATTTAAGTACATAAAGTATGTATTTATTATTATAAATATATATTGAATTAAAAAAAACAAATAATTTTTAAATAGAAAAAGATACACTTGTAAAGGATTTTTTTAAAAAAAAAAAAAGGCAAGGTAAATATTGGATTTTTGATTTTTACCATTCAGAAAAAACCATCACCAGAGATTGAAGACAAAGAATATGAGGTATAAAATGGTTGTTAGAAAATGTTTCCTTTTCGGTCCTATTTACAGCATATTCAACCCAACAAATGGACATCTATTATGTTGAAACAAAACTTGTAAAGGAAAAAAATCAAGATCATGAACTTTTTGATGGCTCAAGAAGTTGCAATATTTATATTTTATGCGAGCCATTCGGACCCATTATCAAAAATGGATACAAAGGACTGCTTTGAGATGATAGCTTGAAACACTGCTGTTCAAATTAATCTCCCTAAAGATATCTTCATTGATTGCTCAGCAGGTCAGGGTTGACAATAGACCCAGTCCCGGTCACGTTTACTTAGTCGAAAATCATTTCGTCGACACCCATTTCGTCGAAAGTTTGTTTCATCGAAAGTTCATTTCGTCGAAAATTATTTCATCCTCGAGCCAGAGACCGAACGA